TTTGCAAGCGGGGTGATGATTCCGCACTGTTAACACTGGAATGTTTCCTGGGAAATGTGTAAGAAACAGACGCTCGCAGCTGTGGTGTTAGAACAAGCGAGCTTGCAATAAACCGGGAAAAGTGGACGGGGGGAGAAGGGAGTGGGGGGAGGTGGGGGGTGGGAGGGGTGACAAGTCATTGCCCAGTTAGAGGCAGCATTTTTCTCTCATCCCCCAAAAGTCTACGGACTCTACAAGAATCGCAAGAAGGAATATGATGAAAAATATATAATGCATCGTTAATAGCCAAACAAACTCTGCCTCTCCACACATCCCCTATTCCCCTGAAGCTCCCCGCGGGCTTGTGATTGACAGGAACAATAAAAGCTGTTGTCCATTGTAGGATAAGGTCAGGCAGGAGTCTTGTATAATAGATTAATGGTTGCCATATATTTGTAATGAGCGTGTTAGCTTCTTGAAAGGTGGACTGTGAATGAGAGGCTCCAAGATTGGACGGTGGGTTCAATGTCCTTTGCTTGGGAATCCAGCAGCTTGTGGTAGGGACAGGTAATGAGATGATGAGCTATCCCAGCTATGTACTGAAGGCCATCCGAGTCTGCAGGCGCTAATTGGGGAAGCCAATGCATCCCTGGGATTTGCGGTTGCCTCAGAGGTAAAGTGGTCGTGGGTGGTTATTTATAACACAGGGCACATCATCACTCCTGTCTGACCCAAACAATGGTTTGCTTTTCTCTCCCCTCTCCCCGTTTTTAATGCGGTCTAAAATTGTGGCATTCCTAAACTCACACTGTTCCTTAAATCTCTTTGGGAAGTAGGGACGGAATGCATTTAGGAATATCACTGTTTTAACCTCCTTTGCCTCAAGTGGTTATCATACACACAGTGATTGTCACACACACACACAGATCTATCTCTGGAACTCTGGAACTCCATCCCACGGTCCCTTCGCCTCGCTTCCTCCCTTGCCTGCTTCAAGGCCGGTCTCAAGACCCTTCTCTTCGATCGTGCCTTTGGTCGCCCTCCCACCTCACCCCTACCGCACCCCTCCCCCATGCTCAGGTCCCAACCCCTGACTGTTCAGCGCTTTGGGACGTCCTCCCGAAGTGAAAGGCGCTCTATAAATGTAATTATGTTGTTGTTGTTTTTGCTGCGCACAAATTAGCTGTCAAATTCGCCTACAAACACACAGTCATTACATTTGACAGCCATTACCTGTGAAGTGCTTTCAGGCATTTCCATGTTTTAGGCACCTGATCAGATACAAGGATTATTAATATTATTGTTGTATTATTTATAGTTTAAATCATTCCGTCGAGGTAGTTTCTAAGTGGTTTTCAGTGATGTGAGTCACCCAGACCAATAGCACGTTACATATGAATGGATGTTCCTTTTCTTAGTATATTTGCCTAACTGCCTAAAAAATGGCTATTTTTGCAGGAGGTTGCTATTTTGTTCGCCAGGTAATTTATCAGCAATAATAATAATCATTTTTATTAGGATTATGATTATTATTATTATTGCAGTGCACGGGTTGAGCTCCACGCGAGGTATGATGTGTGGTTTGCTTAAACCCGTGTTCTTTCAACAGCAGCGCTAATGAATACAACTACTGTGGACAGGACACGGTTCTGGTAATTAGGGACCTGATCACCACGGGATTCTGAAAATGACTCCAATTACGTCGAGAGCAGGCATTGCATCTCGCAACCCACAGGCTTTTTATGAATGGCGCCGAAGGCCACAGAACGGTTTGCTCAGCATTGCAGGTCCAACAGTTGGCCTGGCGCTGTGTCACAGACTGGGTTCATTCGCAACGATGCTTTCACTCTCTCTCCAGCCACCAACAAACAGGAGGGGGTCGGGGTGGGGGTTAGGTTAAGAGCTGCGTGCTTGCCAGCTCTTGATCAGGATGATGAATGAACGGAGCCTCCCTTTTGTGATGAATGGAAGGAGATTCCATTGTCCGTCGCGAGGTGAGCCGGGAGGGAAACGGGGATGTACGAGCAGCAGATGCAAGAATTATTATTGTGTTGTGACAAAACTGGAATTAGCTCCTAACCACCGTGAGTGATCTGTTGCCCACACTGCGGTGGAACCTCGCTGACTGTTGCCACGGAGACGTTAACAACTACCGTCCCCAAGGGAGGCGGTGTGCCGGGAGGACATTTCATTCCAGCTGAGGAAAATAAACCCAGAAGGAGTTGAGGGAAAAAAACAAAACACGATAGAGTCATGGGCGTCCGTTATGGAGGTGCTCACTGCTAATTCAGAACTCTGTATATACACACACACACACACACACAGGCTCTAAACTCCGTACCCTCACCACACCGTCCTCGCCAGGCTCCTCTGGCTCCCTATCGCCAAACGGATCAACTTCCAAGATCCTCACACCCGTCTTCAAATCCCTTCACGCCCTGGTACCTCCCTACCTCTCCGACCTGCTTACTCCCCACTCCGCCACCTGACACCTCTGCTCGGCTGGCTCCGGCCTCCTGCTTGACCTTCGTCCATCTCCTTGATACCCTTACATATACATAGGAACATTGGAACAGGAGTAGGCCATTCAGCCCCTCGAGCATGTGCCGCCATTCTGTAAGATCATGGCTAATCTGTACCTCAACTCCAATTACCTGCCCTTGCCCCACATCCCTTGATACGCTGACCTAACAAAAATCTATCAAACTCAGCCTTTTGTGAGAGAGTTCCAGATTTCCACCTCCCTTATCATTCTCTGTAATTTACCCTTTGCCTTTCCTGTTCTTTGTCCTTCACGTTTTCCTCCTTGGCCTGGCTTTCTCTCCTTTTCTGAGCCATCTGCACCAAGTTCCCTCGACTCTTTGTCCACTCAGCCCCATTGCTCTCAGAAATATATAGACGTCTGCCTTTGGAATCATCTTACTTTATGGCCTTTCAGCTGAATCCCAGTGACAAGGGTGATGCCCTTTTCACCCAGTGGAGCCAGTGCCATACCTCCTGTGAAAATTGTGCTGCCATCTGTCATCAGCAGTGGGGAATAAGAATAACTCCCATTTACAACAGGGATAGGATTCGATAAGCCGTTTTAGTATTGATTCCTGACTCTCCACCGTAATCCCTGGGCTGATGTTCAGTGCCTGTTCTCTATATTATCTGCAAAGGAATCAACAGAGAGAAACTTCAGCTTGGCGTAGATTTACTCCTATTTTCTTATTCAATGGTATCAAGGGATATGGGGTTAAGGCGGGTAAATGGAGTTGCTCCAGTGGTTTGCTTCTTTGCTCTGCGGGCACCACTAGGCTAAGATTGCAGATTACGCACCGTGCTTTCAGCCAGGCACAGTAGGTAGCGCTCTCGTCTCTGAAACGAAAGGTTGGGGGTTCAAACCCCACATCGGGACTTTGAACTCACAGAGTCTGGGTTGACTCTCCTTTGCAGGGCTGGAGGGATACACTCAATTGTCGGATCACTGAACCCACGACTGTTTTATATGACACTGGCTGTCGCGTTTCGCCCGTAAAGTACACGTGGTCACTCCACTTTACCCTATTCTGCAAAGCGCTTTGGGAGGTCTCGACGGCGCTATCAGGCGCTATATCAAATGCAAGGATTATCATTATTATTATTATCATCACGTCAGAGAGGATTGGGAGGAAGCCACAGCTTTACGATGACTGATTATTTGAAGGGGTTGACAAATAGCTGGTGTGAGGAGAGCACGCTCTGTATAGACTGGGTGACTGGCAAAACCATCATTGCCGTCAGGAGATGTATTGAACGTCGTTCACAGGAATACAATGAGACGGCCCTTCCTTTGTCTCTGTTGTGTTGTGTGTGTGTGTGTGCGTGTAGCGTCTGCAGTATCGCAGGGGAGTGGCACAGCTCTTTGTGCCTCTGATATTGACCGTTGTGATTTATTAGCACAGTTTGACTATGAAGCTTTCATCGGCGCAGCCAATAATGGCTGCATTTTTCGCTTTTTGCACTACAAACGCACGAACGAGTATTTGACAGACCAATTATTTTCTTTTTTCAAGGGAGCATTCATTTCTCAACCACAAAAGACCACTCTGATGCAGTCAAGTCTTGAAAATTAATAAACAAATAATACGCAGCAATTGGCTGACGGGTAACCAGAAAATAATGATGGGCATCGCAGTGCATGGGCTACAAAATTCCACCCAGCCTCAGCATGTAAGGCCCTATTTTCTTTGCCTTAAAGTTTAAGATCACGCACAGTTAAATTCGGCACTTGACCAGGAGTCCGTTTCTTCAGGAGAACTCCGGAAAAGCAGCTCCCAAACCGGGGAATTTTGTCCATCTTAATTTTTAATGGTGAAACGTGTCTTCCAGACTAAGACCAGGTGGAATTTCAGGCCTCACGCCAACACTCAGCACCGGTGTGCAGGGGATTTTTAAACTGCCTCTTTGCTAGAAATGACAGCGAAAGAGCAAAAAAAAAAGGGAAGTACGCAAGGAGAGGTAAATTGGGAGATTGGATATTAAAAATAAATCTTTATTGCAGAGGATGATCGGAATGAGGAACGCTCTACTACAAACTTCTGCCAAGTCCTTAAATTCTTCCCAAAAGGTTCGGGTGCGTTTAGGTTCTGATCTGAGCAGAGGTTTCAGAAGCATTAGTTGAAGCCGTCACTGATGGGACCTATGGGTTTGGACGTTGATTTATCAATCCGGGAAACGTAAAATAGCCAAGGGCTGGGGGATGAGAATTTAAAACATATAAATATATATGTATTTTTTTTTTACGTAGCAAGTTGTTACAATCTGGAATGCACTGCCTAAAAGAGTGGTGAAAGCAGATTCAAGAAGAACTTTCCAAAAAGGGAATTTGGTATTTATTTGAAAAGAAAGTATTTCCAAGGCTACGGGGAAAGAGCTGGGGAGTGGGACTCCTTGGAAAGCTCTTTCATAGAGCCGGCACAGGCACGATGAGCTGTAGGATTCTACGATACTGATTCCATTAGATGAAGCCGATGCTTAACCAGCCCTTTTGTTATCAGTTTGACACGGAGCAGGTGGACCCGCGAGGCAGGACACCACTACATCTCGCTGCTACGCTGGGATACGTGGACTGCGCGAGGGTTTTGCTGAAGCATGGCTCTGACGTGGGTAAAGAGAACCGAAATGGATGGACAGGTACAGTAATAGCTACTCAGATCTGGTGAGCAGTCAGGTCCTCAACTAAAGCATTGCACAATACACAGACCACTGCGCTTCACATTTGGTATCTCGCCTACAGACACACAATCACTACAACCACAGCAACAGCAACTTGCACTTATACAGCGCCCTCCACACGGGGTAGCGTCCTGGAGCGCTTGACTACACTTTGCACCTCGCCTACAAACACACAGCCACCCACACGTTTACAGTGAAATCCCGGGAAGCACTTTGAGACGTCCATCCGACGTGAAAGGCGCTGGATCGAACGCGAGAATCGTTCCCAGGACCCAATAGATGGAATAAACAGAATGAGGCAAGACCGACGACTCATACGAGAAGCTGAGCACAGTCACAGCAATTGCCGGGGCGGGGGGGGGGGGGGGGGGGAGAGCCATGATTTTCGGGAGCTTTATTCACAGCGTGAGTGTCCTGGGACTCCGCACATACTCTCCATTTTGAAAGGAGAGAGTAAAATACACGCAGCCTAGCCTACTTTTACTGTAAGATTCCCAGGAATGGTACCATCTGTGTTACGTGCCTGGGGCATTCTGCTTCCAATTTATTTTTGTGTGGCATTTTCTGCTAATAGAGCACTTACTATGAAAAACATTGTCATGTTAGAGCTGAGTCCTTTTAATACATTGTAATAGCCTGGAAGGAAATACTGTCACCTGGATTTCTGACTGAGTCTTCTGTTTTTTTTTTTTGAAAATATTTATTTATTTATAAATATAATATTTAGTACATTAGAAATCCCAAACAAACACAACATCCTTTGTTACATTTTTTCCCCCTTTTCTCCCGATACAAAAAACATTCAGTTGTTTACGATGCATTCCTTCACCGCGTATGGGTTGTGCGCACGTTTTTTTGTGGAGATGCTGCTTTTAACCTTGTCGGGAGTCGCCCCCGTGTACACCGGTGTCAGCCTGGCTCTGTCGATAGCAACACTCGTTCCTGAGTCAGAAAGTTGTGGGTTAAGCCCCACGTCAGGACTTCAGCTCATTGTCTAAGCTGACGCCCCAATACATCTTTCAGTTGAGACGTTAAGCAGAGTGCCGATTCAGGTGGACTTTAAAGATCCCTTGGCTCTACTTGAAAAGAGAAGGATAGTTTCTCTCTCCTGGTGTCCTGACCGACAATCTCCCAGAAATTGTTGGCCATCCATTTCCTGGCTTTATTTGCTGTGCGCAAATTGGCTGCCGTGTTTAGTCTTCAAAACACAGTCTCTTGCAATGGAGCATCAGTCCGGTCTGTTTTGAGCTTAAAGACCCCGACTTGGGACTTGAAGCCACAAACGTCCGGCTTAGAGGCAAGACTGCTACCAGAATATTTCAGGGCGATTTCAATCCTCCGCTGCCTGGAGTTTCTGCAGTGATTTCCACTCGTTCCCCTGGATTGCTCTGCATCAAAATGTAGACAGAAATGGCACAGGCCTCCCCTTATATAACAGTGGCTGCTGAGTGGCTAACAAACACACTACATACTCACGCTCATAATAACCCTTTCATTTGATGTAAAGTCTCTCTAACTTTGAAATGCCCCCAAAGCGCTTCACAAGACTGTGCGTTTGCAAAGATTCCCTTCAAAATCCAACCTCTTTTGCTGCATGGAGTCCTGTAGCTCAGTGGTTAGAGCACTCGCTTTGCAAGCGAGAGACCTGAGTTCAATCCCAGGCAGAGGGCGAAACCTTGGGCAAGTTTCCTTACTCCACACAGAGCCTAATAATAATCCCTCCAAAACCCAAAACAATAATAAAATTGGTCATTTTCAATCTACGACTGTTTGTGGGACATTGCTGTGTGCAATTGGCTGCCGCGTTCGCCCACAAATATACAGTCAATTCACTTTACAGTGTGTTCTGTGAAGCGCTTTGGGACGTCCTCCCGATGTGAAAAGCGCTATATCAAATGCAAGGATTAGGATTATTTTTAAGTGTAACACTGCTATGTTCTGTTCTCCACAACGTCTACGCGGCTACGGGCAATGCTGTTATCATTGAATTGATCCTAAAGTGTCCATGTCCTCACCGCTCCACCATCAGTGGCCAAGGCTTCAGATCCCATAACCCCATAATGTCAAGAACTCCCTCCCTCTACTCTGTATGGTTAAAGATCCTGCAACACCATTCGAAAAGAGAAGAGAGTTCCTTCTGGTGTCCTGACCAGCAATCACCCAAATAACATTAGTCACTTGACTTTATGGTTGTTGTGCTGCATACCTGTGCACAAGTTGGCTGCTTCATTCCCCTGCAAATACATAGTATTTATAACAACACGGTAAATTCCTGTGAAGCACTTTCTATTACGTGAAAAGGCGCTATATCAAAAGCCAGGACTATTATTTATCTGTCGTTAAGCCTCTGAAGCCTTCCAAAGTGCCCGCCGTCAAACCCTCTTTCCTTCAGGAATTGCATTGGAGCATCAGCATTGGAGCTCAAGGTCCTGACGTGGGGCTTAGCGCCCACAACCTTCTGACTTAAGAGTCGAGGAAGGCTACCAACTGCTGAGCCAGCTGTCACCCTATCTCCTAAGCCTGTGACGAAACAGCTGACACTTAAACCGTATGAACCAAACGCAAAATGCTGCAGATGCTGGAAATCTGAATAAAAAAAAGCCGCTGGGAGCACCCTTTGTCAGAACTGGGCCATGTTGGGGGGGAGAGGCTTTTCAGGGCTAACAGAGAGGGTGGGGTGGGGGGGGGGGAGAGGCAGGGCAAGGAAGACGAGGGAGAAAATGGGGTAGAGGATAGGGGACGATGGGTTAAAGAGGTGTTAATGATGCAAAACAAAGAAGGGGGGAAATTGCCACAAAGCAGGCAGACCAGAGAGAGAAAAGGTGTGTCTGGGACCCACGTAGACAGACACAAGTCTCATTGTAGCACAAGGTCTCGGGGTTCAGATGTCCGTTTTACGGGCGGTTGTAAAGCACGGGAATCGCACTGTTAGTTAGCGAGCTCCACGTCGTCTAGACCACAGGAAAACAGGCAATGAGTGACGTTTCACACCAGCAAACCTGTGGTTTCGTCTCTCAACACGTTTGCGGCATCTTGTCGTGCAACAACAGGGCGGTAATCGATTTTATTAATAAGATAATCCCGTTTGTCCTGAATTGGCTGCCAGCTGCGGACACACAAAAGACACTTACACGTCGGAAAGTCAATCCATTAGAGATAACATTGAGAGGGACGAGGCGAGAGAGAGGGAGGGAGGGAGGCGTGGGGGGGGCTGGCGGGTGGGGGTGGGTAAGACAGCAAATGGCCAGTTATAAAGAGAAAACGGATTGGCTGGCAGAACACGACAGCATGTAACAGTGGGATAGTTTCTGGCAGTGTCACACCAAAATAAATCTAACCCTCCTCACTGCACTGTGATTTAGCCCCTGGCTATCTCTTAATTCGTATAAATAGGCACGAGGTACGTGCCTATTGTTCGTGGGACATCGCTGCGCTCACACTAACTGCCGTGTTGACCCACAGCACGTGCGGCCGCCGCACTTAACAGTAATCCCCTGCGAAGCGCTTTGAGACGTTACCCCCCCCCCCACTGCTCTCTCTCCACCTTCAAATCCCGCCTAAAGACCTTCCTTTCTGATCGCGGTTACACTCCCCGCTCCTTCCCCCCACCCGGCTCGTGGTTGGACTCCGCCACTGTAAAGCCCTCCAGGACGCTACCCCGCGTAAAAAGGGCGCTGTAAAAACGTTTGTTGTTGTTGTTATTGTTGAAAGGCGCTGTGCTGAGCCAAACGTAAGGATTATTATTGCACTTCTTGCGCCTCATTGCAAACTGAGTTTCTTGTTTCCTCCACCCACGGAGGCCAGTCGACATATTTTTTGCCGTGTCTGTCCTTTTGCTCCTCCGAGATTCCCAATTCCCCATCCCCTCTAGCCCTCTTCCTTTTCTACGGGTTCGTCGAGTTCTTTGTTAAAAAGTCAGGCTCCGCCACCGTTAAGCGCTCTGAGACGCTATCCTGCGTGGAGGGCGCTATGTAAGTACAAGTTGTTATTGTCGTTGTTGTTAATGCCCCCTCCTCTCTCCTCTGCGCTAACAGCTGCCCCTGGCTTCAACGGTCCAATGGCCTGTTTTTCAGTTGAGTCGGAAAAGACTCCCCATTTACGTGAATCGGATTCCTTATTAAGGAAGTCCATTAAGTTCATGGAAATACTGTGAAATATTCACATTTTCAAGGCTGGGGTGAATAGGTATTTGTTAGATCAGGGTATCAAGGGATATGGGGCAAGGGCAAGTAATTGGAGTTGAGGTACAGATCAGCCATGATTTTATAGAACAACCGAATAGGCTTGAGGGGATGAATGGCCTCCTCCTGCTCCCAAGAAACCCACAATCGCTGCTTTAAGAAAAGTGGATTTCTCCCACGATTTCAAAGAACCTTGCAGCTGTAGTTTGTTTCGTAAAAAGAAATTAGTCTTTAGTGGACGTAACCATATGAAATTTGCTTAAGGCGGATTAATTTCCAATGAAATTCCTCCATAATGAAGATTATGAGCAGCAGAAACTGAATCAAATTAAATTAGACCACGGACGTGCTTTTAGATTCGCTCCGTGAGTCTATATGTGTCAACGGCAAAAAGGTGGCATGAAAATGTGAATTACTTGTTGATTTGTTAAAGGAATCGGGAGGGGAGGTGTGCAGGGAGTTGGATGTTGTTGGGGGTGGGAGGTTAAGAGGGAGAAGTTAGAAGCAGGGCTTGAGAGGGGGTGTGGACCAGGGGGTTTGGGAGGGAGTGGTTCGGAGGGAGGTAGGGGCGGAGGAGGTGTGGAGGGGGTGGTCAGAGATTAGAGGGAGTTGTGAGAGGAACTCATTAGGACCTACGGAAGCCAAATAGAAAAAAAATAGCCGCCGGTAACTGACCTGTAACTTGCGCGACGTTTCATTATGGTATGAAAATCGTTTTAAACGACCCTCTGATTTCACGTTCTCGGGGCTTCAGATATTCCACATTTATTTATTTCTGCCTTGCGACGGGGAAAAAGCATTCCATCGATTTCTCCTCTCTCGTCGCTCACAGAAGGCCAGTTGCCCCGATCGTGTTAAATCGCCTTATTCTCAGCAATTGTAGAATCCGACGTTCCCCTCCCACGACGTCTTATCAGTAATCCTTTCATACTTTCCGTTGCCGTTCGACAGATGGAAATGTGTTCACCGAAGTTCATCAGGATAGTGTCAGGTGTTTGGAGCAGCCCTGATGTTCTGCCCTTAAGTTCGATAGCGCCTTTGTTAAAGTAACGCATTGCATGGGAATGGCTTTGCACAATAGAAATTATATTTGCCCAACGCCTTTCACATCGGGAGGACATCTCAAAGCACTGACTGGACACCCGACCACGCATACAAACGGATACATTTACACAGCCTCTTTCATGTCGGGAGGATGTCAAACGTTGAGCTCTGGGATGCTACCCTGTGTGAGGGGCGTTATATAAATGCAAGTTGAAGAGAGGGTGTGTGTGGGTGGGGTGGCGGTGGGGGTTGTTGGAGGGCGGGTGTGGGAAGGTTGACCAGAAGCACGGTCGGAGAGCCATGGGGAAAGGAGAGACTCCTGGACTGTGGGGCCGTCGATCTCCTAACTTGTGAACGCCTTCTGTGCCCCGCAGTGCTGCAGGAGGCTGTGAGTACTGGAGACCTGGAGTTGGTTCAGCTACTTCTTCGTTACCGTGACTACCAAAGGTCTATCAAGCGCCTGTCGGGCATCCCGTGTCTGCTGGAGAAACTCCGTCAGGTAACCTTCCAAACATCCGTCCGCTCATTGAAGTCCTGTAGGGTAGTGGTTAGCGCGCTCGCCTCGCAAGCGAGAGGGCGCGGGTTCAATTTCCATTCCCGGGCGGGGCAAGACCTCAGGCAAGTTTCCTTACTCCACGCACACGCCTCTGTTTACCTAGCAGTAACTAGGAACCCAGTTGTTAGTCGATTGCCGGATCGCACTCCGGGAATAATTATCTTCCCTCCGCACCCCCCAAAAAAAAATATGGTCACTCAATCCACGACTGTTTGTGGGGCACACTGCTGTGAGCAATTAGCTGCTGCGTTTTGCCCACGAAATAGACAATCCATTTTACAATATGTTCCGTGAAGCGCTTTGAGACGTCTCACCGACGAGATAAGATGCCATATCAAATGCCGAGGGTTAGCATTATTATGATGGATAAACTTGGGGGGATTTTCCAGCAACGCAGGGCTGAGCAGTTAAATCGAGATCCGGGAATTATACGGAAGGGTCGGTGTCAAAGGGTAGGACACAGTGGGTTGGGGGCTGGTGTCACGTGGGTCAGTGCCAGTAATTTGATATGGCGGTGCTGTGGGACTGATGCCAGATGCCAAGCCCACATTAGGGGGTATTGTTACACAAATTCAACTAACTTTCATTTGCTTCCATCAGGCGCAGGACTTTTACGTTGAAATGAAGTGGGAGTTCACCAGCTGGGGTAAGTTTAACCCTCTAGGGAGGGTGGCAGAGTTCGTGAGCGCGCCCGAAATTAAAGACTGCCAAAATTCACCGCTGAATTTTCAGCTTTTAAGAGAGGTATCTGGGAAAGACGGGTTTGCAGGGTTATGGGGAGAAAGCTGGTGATTGGGGTTAGTGAAAGTGACTTGCTCTGTCCAAGAGCCGGCACAGACTCAATGGGCCAAATGGCCTCCTTCTGTGCCGTAACTATGAATCTATGAATCTATGAATCTATGAATCTATGAATCTATGAATCTATGAATCTATGAATCTATGAATTTCAAAGGCGCTGACATTAAATTTCTAAGCAGGTAAAAAAATCGCCTTCTCACCCATTATAACTATATATATATAACTATAAAAATCCTCTACAATCCTCTTGTTATTAGCGGATTTGTTCTGATCCCAGATGATGCTTAATTGTAGTTGGCATAGCAACAATCATGTTAGCTCCACAGAGGAAACATGACTTTGCCTTGTGGCTGCTGCTTTGTAGCAACGCAGTTGGAGAGTTCAGCGCAGTCCCGAAGACTCCCTTGAAAGACAAGGCGATCCGTGATAGCAGTCCAGCCTCCACTTTAAACCGAGAGGACGGGATTAAGATGCCGCTGATGGGCTGTGGGCTGCAGCAGGTGTTGCCTTTGTACCGGAGAGCCGGTACCTCCTTAGCTCTGTGATTTCACTTGGCTCCCAGCCTGTACCTGGCGAGGAGAGATATTCCATCTTGCCATATGCCCGCTGTGCAAAGGCACATTCCGCAGCGCGGGGGTTCAAACACGCACCTGTGACAAACTTCTCATTGGCATTCGCTCTGCTCTGCACTGCCAGAACCTTAGCCCACCCTCCCCCACCCTCCCCCACCCTCCCCCCCCCCCTCCCCCCCCCCCCCCACTTCATGGAATTCTACAGCACACAAGGAGGCCATTCAGCCCATCGTGTCAGTGAAAGAACTATCCAACTGTTCTCACTCCCCCGCTCTTTCCGCAGAGCTTTGCAATTTTTTTCTTTTCAAGTACATATCCAACAGATATGACCCGGAGGCAAGAGTGCTTCCGTCTGAGCATCCAACCCACGACTCAGCTTGCGTAGCCGCCGACAGGTCGCTTTGCGGGCTTTTCCCCCCCATTCCTGACCGGATGCAGTGAGAGAGCCCCCGTCCCCCCCCCCGACCCCCCAAGAGAGACCTGAGTTCCATTGGCACCAACGCAGGTCTTGTCGGTGTGGGTTGACGGGCCAACACTGACAAGACGTGCAAAGCCGACTTGAGGAGTTTCCTTGATCTCCGCTGCGCGTTTTTACCACAATCGCAGCATTTCCCATCGTAGGAATGAGAAACACAAGCTCAGGTGTGCTTCCAATCGACTGCAGCTGTGTTGGTGCTTTTGCTATTCCTGGATACAGTAAGGGGAACGTGTAGAAGGCAAGCTGTTCTGCAATCTACATCAGCCATGGACCCTCCCAGATCTCTTGCCTTAGCTCTGTAAACCAAAGCCCCATCGGCAACACTGTTGTCAGCTCAGTGTTTGCTGGAGCGATGGGGCAAGGCAGATCCTCTCAATCAGGACCTTGGGCTGGGTTAGGAGTGAGAGTTGCAGCACCACCTCGAGGCCACTGTCCACATATCAGCCTGTTCCAGAGACCATGAGAACATAGGAAATGTTAGTAGAAAAGAAGACCAAGGTCCATCCAATTCGCCTTCCGCCTTCCTGGCGGTTGCATGGCACCATTGCAGTGTAAACGCAGGTTTGCTCATTACAAATGCAATTTCAGGTTAACCGTGCGGCTGATTAACAGATTTCTTCCCCCCCCCATTGTTGTCGTTTGACTCCGCACACAGTGCCCTTGGTCTCCAAGATCTGCCCGAGCGACACGTACCGCGTGTGGAAGAGCGGCCAAAATCTGCGAGTGGACACGACGCTCCTCGGCTTCGATCATATGACCTGGCAACGAGGCAGCCGCAGCTTTGTCTTCAAAGGGCAAGGTCAGCTCGGCCGGTCGGGCTGTCAGTTACAGTGTTACTTGGTCTCTCAGTGCTACAGGGTCACGTCTCGGAGCGCTTCGGAGAGGCAGATAATAATGGCAATAATCCTTGCATTGGATTTAGTGCCTTATCACATCGTTAGTAAGATGCTGAGCAGGAGGGTAAGTGCTAAGGGGGTGGTGACATGACAGCATTATATGAGAAGGGACGAGACTGATATGGAAGGGTGGAATAGGTGAGAGGCATTAGGATGGGTGGAGGCTCACGTGGAGTAGAATCGCTGACTAGTTCTGATGAGTTGGGCCGAATGGCTTGTTTCATTGCTCTAGTGGAATCCTGTAGCTCAGTGGTTAGAGCACTCGCCTCGCAAGCGAGAGACCTGGGTTTGATTCCCGGCAGGGCGAAACCTCGGGCAAGTTTTCTTACTCCACACGCCTGATAATAATCCCTCAAGAAGAAAAACAATAATAATTTGGGCACTCAATCCACGACTGTTTGTGGGACACTGCTGTGCGCAATTGTCTGCCGCGTTTCGCCCACAAAATGTGCGGTCAAATCTAGAAGACTTGAAAAGCGCTATATCAAATACAAGGATTATTATAATTATATTATAGAATCTGCGCAATTCTAGGTCAGCGTTGTAAGGAGAGAAGGCTGAAAAAATACTTGACGTAGTGAGTTAGTAAATTTTAATGCAATGAGTAATGCAGCTGGCGATTACAGTGCTTTAAAGAATTGAATCAATTTATGATCAGATTCCCCACCCACCAAAAAAAAATCACACCTTCGCTTGTCTATAACTATGAATTTCTACTTTGACTGATTTCGATACATAGTTAATTTGTAGGTTTTAATGAATAATGAATTAAAGCACTGGCAACGTTTAATGGACAAAGTCTGTTGAACGCGAGATATAAACTGGGGAGTTAGTGGCTATAATTAAATAGGAAATTAATGGCCAACAAATCAATTATGTGAGTTGTGTTATTATGAACCTGAATATCCCCAGTTTCTATTAAGGATGTTAATCTTCTCAACCCTAGACTTGTTTCTTGGTTCCTTTCCATGACTATGTTTCACTATTATAGTCTGGCCCACAAAATATACAGTCAATTCACTTACAGTATATTCTGTGAAGCGCTTTGCGACGTCTTGAAGACGCGATAAGGGGCTATATCAAATGCAAGTATTATTATTATTATATGATCAGTATTATTATTATAACTTACCTCTTTTGTCCAGTGTTTCTCATAGTTGAGAAGCTATTTTTGTCCTAAATCTTAAACCGACGTCTGCAATTACACTGACGCGACAAAGGGATCAAACAAAACAATCGATTCCGCAGGGGGAGTAAACGTGGAATAATAGACCCAGTCGAGCTAATTAACATGGATATTTCACTGAAGCTGTTTTGATGGCATCTGAGAATCCATTCGGATTTCGCCATCTGTTCACGCTTTAAACACCGGGGTGCAATTATGTTAAGTCACTACATCAGATCTGACGAGGATAAGCAGCGTGGATTCAATTACTGGACCGATGGAGCTTGTGTTGTTGAAACAAAACGATGACGTGAGTCCCTGGGTTGACTCCCTGATGTCTCCAAAGGCTTGGCTTGTTTAGGAGTATAAATACCGGTGCAGCATGGACAGTCAGGCCAAGCGGTCTGTTTGGGTGCTGCATTGTAATTCTGTGTAATTCACGGCAAAGGTATCTCTGTGAGTAAATGCATTGCATTGCATTGATTGCCTTTTAGACCAAGAAGCCCAAGGTGCCAACCCAAGTCGTTTCTACGACGATGGCTACATTTTGGAGACAAAGTTATCATAATAATCCTTGCGTTTGACACAGCGCCTTATCGCGCCTTCGAGACGACTCAAAGCGCTTCACAGGATATACTGTGAAGTGAATTTACCTGTGTATTTTGTGGGCGAAACTTTGTGTTTCCCTGTCCGCAAGCGCTGAGATATTGCGTGACAGATACCAGCCCCCGACCCCCACCACCACCACCCCCCTCTCTTTTGATAACGGACTTGTGTTGTGACCATTTTTCATACAACTGTAAATGTCAGCAGCCCATGTTACTTGGTAGGGTGGGGTAGTGGGGGAGAGAGAGGGGGGAAGGTGAAAAGGATGAAAAGGTTATATGACCATTGGGGGGAATGTTGGGAGGATGTCTCAAAGTGCTTCACACGACTGCGACTTTGCTAGTAATCGCCCCAAGCCAAGGTTTGAGTGCTGTGTTGGTTCAGGCAAACAGAAAACACAGTGAAGCCCTCAAGTCAGCTGTTAGTTGGCCGACCGAAATAGGTAATGTTCAGTGGGGGCGAGAGGTTTGGGGCGATTGTTCTCATTACATTCTCTAAAGCTGCCGCAAATCGATGTGTTTAGATAAATGGTTTATTGGAGTCATTTGTTATCGAGAAATTGATTGAAATAACAATGCTTGAGCAGAGAAGAATGGGTTGCCTACTTTCGTCCCTTTAATTAATTGGATTTACTCCCGGTGTAATTGAATTTACACAGCCGTGATGCCACGTGCTTTATTTATTGTTTGCCGAGCACACCCAAGTCAAAGGCACAGGATTTGCTCCTTCAAGAAAGATTTTAGCCGGTGGAACAAAGCGACAAGCTGCCAGACATTCACCTGCAAACCCACAGCCCACTACACCTCAGAGTAAAATCCTATGAAGCGCTTTGAGACATCCCGATGCCACAACATGGCGCTGTACCAAATGCAAGGAAAAGCAACTCGCGGTAGCAATTTTCTGTTTAATTCCGGGGTTGCAAAGTGCTATTTCACGCCGCTAAATATTCATGAGCTTATTTTAATCAAGCTCACAGTGAGCTTTTATACTAGTGTGGTAGAATTATGGTGGGCTTTAGATATTAATATTGACTCAGAGTGAAAACCTATTTCTGGGTGAATGAAGAGGATCAAGTCTTATGTTTAGGACATGACTGAAGCGTTCTTGAAAAACCCTTCATATACAACACTTGCTCAGCCACCTTGAATGGCCAAGGTAGATAGAACCACTTCAATTCGAATCAAATCCTGGAGACATTGCAATGTCTCCCTCTACTCAGAAATCCATTTAAAAGGCAGATAAACGACTCTTAACGAAACAAATGTCCCAAAGCCCAGGCTTTGGGACATTCTCCCGACGTAAAGCGCTCCAGGACGCTACCCGCATGAAGGGATCTATATAAATGGAATTTGCTGTTGCTGCTGTTGTTCTTGACGTGAAAGGCGCTGTACAGAAGTAAATTTGCTGCTGTTGTTGAATGTAGTAAAATGCAATGAATTTGTGTTGCCGTAGACAACAGCGCCGTTGTGATGGAGATCGATCACGATCGGCAGACGGTTTACACGGAAACTCTGTCGCTGGCCAATTATGACCACGACTTGCTACTGACCACAGTCCAGCCCTCGGAGGAGCAGGTGGCAACCCGCCTCACCACCCCAGTAGTCACCACCCAACTAGATACCAAGAACATCTCCTTCGAAAGGTAACAAGCTACAGTGCGTGCAATCTGAGCGACTAGCAAACAGGCTCCTATTCACTGCTACGTATAGAGAGGCGTGTGGAGTGAGGAAACTTACCTAAGGTTTCGCCCTGCCCGGGAATCAAACCCAGTTCCTCTCGCTTGCGAGGTGAACACTCTAACCAATGGATTAGAGATTTTTTTTTACCTGTAACTGGTTAACGTTTCTAGGCTTTTAGCTTCAGTCCACTTTGGTCTTAAAACTTAAATTGGCATAGTGTTGTTAAAGGCAAATCTTTTAATCAATCTTAATTCAGAAAACCTTTTTTTCCTCCCTCTCGGCAGTTACTAAAAAGAACCAGAATTTTAATCCGCAGAAATAAATTCCATAGGGCTTTAATCTGAATTATTGGACGGGAGAGCTAAGTGTTTTTTTTTATTTTAAAAACCTGATGTTTCTCTGATTGTTTTCCCTCCAACAGAAATAAATCTGGAATCCTGGGCTGGAGGAGCGAGAAGACTGAGATGATTAATGGCTACGAGTCCAAGGTACCAGCATGATAATAATCCTTATAATAATCCTTGCATTTGACACATCAGTACCTTATCACATTAACAACCACCAGTGACATCCTGGTCCTCGATATGAGAGGTTCTGTAGCAACGCAAGGATTATTCTTAGAATTATTATTATTTTATTATTATTATTTTCTTCCGTTGCCTGCAAGTTCTGTGCGGATTCCAATGCGAAGGAGAAAAACAAAGTTGTCCGCTCTTACTTTTTCCAGGTGTACGGAGCCTCAAATGTGGAGCTGGTTACTAGGACAAGAACAGAGCACCTGTCAGACCAGAACAAGAGCAAAACCAAAGGTAACTAAACCAAGTGCGTTTCTTCTAAAGGAACTTGGGAACATAACAAACTCCCGAAAAGGAATTAAATCCAAATCGGTTGCCTTCGCCAGCGCGGATGGCTTTGCTGGGTCATATAATTTATCAGACACACAAAGCGAAAAACCGAACCGACTCACATACTCGTTGCTATTCTAATCCCTGATGTGAATTTAATGGACCAGATCAGGCATGATGTTGCTTCACGGTCCGCTTAGACCCTGACAAGCGTCGTTCTGAAGGCAACTGCGTGAGATGTGGGTTGTCCGTGTGAGTACACTGCAGCTCGGCTGATGTGAGCGTGGCTCCGAAGAGATTCTCTTTCCAATGGCGACTCTGACAAGACGTGACTGAGTGTCTGGCAGATGGTGCATTTTGTCAGTCAGATGCGCTCAGGCTAAACAAAGTTGATGGAAGTACTGCATAATATTTAGGAGTGCGGCTGTGGGGTGGTGGGGGGGGTGCGGTGGGAGGGGGTAGTGAGAAAGACCCACATGTTACTTCTGCAAGAACCGTTACCGATGTGAAAATGCAATAGGGTGACGGCTGATAATTGCAGAAAGCACAATGATAATCCTGGCTGTAAAGTGCAGGGACTTAGTATGTTGTAGGTGAACAATCGGGCGGAATCAACGACACAGTAAGACAAGGCTGCGAAGTGCTTTGAGATAGTTTGACAATATGATAAGGCGCTATGTGAAATGCAAGGATTATTTCATGTACTATCATCGTACTATTCTTCAGACCGAGCTGGCCTGGGGGGGTGAGGGGGAGGGGAGGGAATGGTAAATTTGTATTGATCAGGTCAGAAACTTAAAAGGGAGAAATTCCTGGAGTGCTAATGGAGGCTGAGTGATGGACTAAGGCGTGTGTGTGTGTGTGTGTATGATTGATTGTGTGTGTGTGTCTGTGTGTGTCTTCATGTGTGTATTTCTTTGTGTGTCTGTTTGTGTGTGCGACGGAGTAATTGAGACTCTGCAGGCATCTGAAGTCTAGCTCAGGTGCGGATTTCATAAATCCAAATCCCATTAACACTATTCCAATTAATCCTAATGCCTTTAATTCCAATCCCATTGATCCCAATCCCGTTTATCTCAGTGATAATGAGAACAATCGTACAATTTCGTGGATCACTGTTGCTTTACATATGTAGCACTATACATTTTTTTTTAACGCGTAGAGAAAAAGGCGTGCAGGAGTTCTCTCTGTGCGAAATCCACACCGTTTGTCCTTGCACTTCATAAAGTAAAAGGGTCTCAAAGCACTTCACAGGTAATTGTTGTCAAGGGGTTAGTGACTGTATTTTTAGGTAGCCAATTTGCACAGAGCAATGCCCTCCGCAGCTAGCCACGAAAGGAAGGAACAATTTCTCTTGTGAATCAGGAACGTTTATTGGAGTCACCGAAGTAGTCTTGATATCCGTGGGAACCCACAGCAACAAAAGTCACCTCTTGTCTTTTGCAGGCTGTAAGACTCCTCTCCAGTCTTTCCTGGGCATTGCAGAGCAACACGTAGGACCGCACAATGGGGTCAGTACGAGGAGACTTGCGCCACGATGTATGCTTCAGAAATCGCATGAGTTTGTAACGTGCATTTTCGCTCGGAGACACTACCCTGCGCGGAGAACGAATGCACAAATTGCCGTTGTCGCACGACCCAAAATTGCACAGAGTCGTAGCCTCAGAGTTCAAGAGTCGCGGGCAAAATTCTTATGTTCGTTTTCATTTGGAACCCGCGTCTTTACTTAAAACTGCTGAAAGCCAGCAACCAAACTGAACCCGGATTAAAGAATCGATTACGTCACACCCTTCAATTTCTCTCAGCGTCTCTAGACGCTGGCTGAGAACCACCGTCGTTTAAGACGTCACACTCACGCAAAGCGATCCCCTTTTCTTCTCCAGGCCTTCATCACACAAACGTTCAGCAATACCAACCCGACGTCCATCACCCCGGAGGAGTACTTCAACGCCAACTTTGAGCTGGGAAACCGAGACATCGGACGTCCCATGGAGCTCACCACAAAAACACAGAAGTAAGTCACTTATGCGCTCGATAGAGCACGTCGTTGAGACGTCTCAGAGCGCTTCACAGGCTATACCGTCAAGTGGATCGACTGGGGGTTTTGTGGGCAAAACGCGGCAGCCGATTGCGCACAGCAGTGTCTCCCACTCACTATGGTGATGTTCTGATCGAGAGAACACCCTGTTCATCACGAGCCTCGTTCCATTAAAAGGGACTTCGACAGCGCCAGTGGAAGAGAAGATTGAGATAGTAAAGTGTCTGTGCTTTTTCTCCTTGTTTCCCTCAAGATTCAAAGCAAAGCTTTGGCTGTGTGAAGATCACCCGTTGTCTCTCTCCGAGCAGGTAGCTCCTATCATTGACCTCATGGCAATAAGCAACGCACTGTTTGCTAAACTTAGGGACTTCATCACTCTTCGGCTGCCACCAGGGTTCCCGGTCAAAATAGGTAAGCACCAAAAGTTCTCTGACCGGACACCATGTTTTGACCCACGAAATGACACCTTGACTCAGCCCATAAAAAATACTTTGCCTTCAACCTTAATTGGCTGAACAGTTCGAAGAGGAACTGGATAAAAGGGGAGAAGAGCAAGCAATTGCGACTGAGTTGAAGGCTCCCGTGGAGGATCAAATGGGCCAAGTGACCTCCTTTATGAGCTCCAATTTCCATGATTTCTACACTCAGAAATAAAAGCATCTTGCTTTGCTCTGACTTCTCCATGAGCACACGGTGACTTATCAGCTGTGTGTGAATACTCCTATGTATCTCTGATTTTAAATGCAGGTACAAGGGGGTGGGGGATGGTAATCATAATAATCCTTGCATCAGATAATTTCTTGGGGAGGACAAGTTTGCAGGGCCTATGGGGAGAGTGCGGGAGAGTGGAATTGATTTGGACAGCTCTTTTCAAAGAGCCAGCACAGACACGATGGGCCGAATGGCCTCTTTCAGTGCTGTATAATTCCATGGATTCTGTGATATATAGCACCTTATCACGTCTTCGAGACGTCTCGAAGTGCTTCGCAGAATATACCGTAAAGTGGATTGACTGTACGTTTCGTGCTGATGTTCTGGAGGGACGATGAGATCAGATGGACGGAAGAGCCTTCTTCATCCAGGCCAATCTTGCGGCCTCTGTAGAGTTTTCTAATCCGCGGCGATCGGGAGTGACTCACGTTTCGCTGCTCTCTGCAGAAATTCCAATCTTCCACATCCTGAACGCTCGTATCACCTTCGGGAACCTAAACGGCTGCGACGAGTCCGTGAGCTCCATTCGGAGCAGCCCAAACAGTGAGACGCCTTCGCCCAGCAGCGACACGTCGAGTATCAGCAGCTCCAGCTCCATGAGTAGGTGTCGAAGCCGCCTCCGCCCGTCTCACACACACGAGAGAGAGAGAAAGAGAGAGAGAAGGGAATAAGAAGGGTGTGGGAGGAGAGTGAGGGGGGAGTGTTGCGGGGGCTGGTTTGCAGTACAAATACGGCTACTGAGGCCGAATGACCTGTTTCCGTGACGTACTGTGCTCCCTACACCCTGAGTGTGTAAATTTCACAGGATACCCTCACACTCTGCCATTGTTCAGCCCTCCCCGACGTTACCCCACGTGAAGGGCCTGATATAAACGCAAGTTGTTGTTGTTGTAAAGTGTAGTGATTGTGTCGTTCTGCGGGCGGAAGCGGCAGCTAATTTGCGTACAGCAGCGTCCCAAAGAGAGCCATGAATTGAATGCCCAGTCGGTCGGCGGTGGTGGTGTGGTGGGGGTTGGGGGAGTGGGGGGTAGGGGGAGAATTGTTGGCGGAGGGATTGAGGGAGAGAGTTCCAGAGTTTCGGAGCGTCGTGGTTGAAGGCACGGGAGGTGAACTGAACTCGGTTGGTTTTACTTACCAGCTTCGTGCCGTGGCTGTGACATGGACCCGATGCTGTTCGAGATGCCCAGAGGTTACACCGTTGTTGGCGGTAACAGAGATTCCCTGAGGGAGGAGGATGATGACTTGCTGCAGTTTGCCATCCAGCAGAGCCTGCTGGAAGCCGGAACAGAGTACGATCAGGTGGGAGAGCCCTGGGAATCTGCTTCCACCACCCTTTCAGGCAGCGCATTCCAGATCGTAACAACTCGTTGTGTTGAAAAAAATAACAATTGTTTCATCTCTTCATCTCCTCTCTGGTTCTTTTGCCAATTATCTTAAATCGGAGTCCTCTGGTTACCGACCCACCCACCAGTGGAAACAGTTACTCCGCATTTACTCCCATCAAAACCACTCATACCTTTGAACACCTCGCTTAAATCTCTCCTTAAGCTTCGGTGCTCTAAGGAGAACAATCCCTGTTTCTTTAGTCTGCACACGACTGAAGTCCCTCATCCCTGGTATCATTCTGATAAATCTCCTTCGCACCCTCTCCAAGGCCTTGATGTCCTTCCTGAAGTGTGGTGCCCAGAATTGGACACAATACTCCAGCCGAGGCCAAACCAGTGGGTTATAAAGGTTTAGCACAACTTGGTTGGTGTTATCCTCTATAATAATAGTATTAAAATAATAATAATAATGCTTGCATTTGATATAGCGCCTTATCAAGTTTTTTGAGACGTCTCAAAGCGCTTCACAGAATATACTGTAAAGTGAATTGACTGAACATTTTGTGGTCGAAAGGCGGCAGCCAATTGCTATGACTCTATTTATATCCTAACTTTCTTCATTTGCCTTCTCTTTGACTTCTCTCCCTCTCTGTCTCGCTCAGGTGACTATCTGGGAAGCACTGACAAACAGCAAGCCAGGAACACACCCTATGACTTGTGAAGCAAGGAAAGGAGAAAGGTACTGCACAGGACACAGGGAATGAATCACTCACTCACTCCCTCGCTTGGCGCATTGAACACCCAATTCCTGTGATAAAAATTTCGCAGCGCGTTGATTTACAGACACTTTGTCCTTCTGCTTTGGTGAACGCGTTGCAGCCCTCTGTTTTTTGTTTTCCTCGGGCAATTCGAAATGTACTATCTGAAATAATTTCAGGTGAATTGCAAAGCCTCGGGCGCTGCTGACAAAAAGCAGCACAATTCTGTTCCGAGCAGTTACAGATTTGTCTCAGATAAATCCAAACACTCTGCCGGTCCGCAGCTCCTATTAAATCTTCAATACCTGCTCTAAAATCTATTCTCAGCTGCACCAAGACTGTAGATAGAACAACAGGACACGGGTTTAGAGTTTGCAATGGGGCAATTTCAGGAAGTTTTTCTTTACCTAGGGGGTAATTAACAGCTGGTTCGAGATATGAGGACCCATTGAAAATAAACGACAGCTGGATGCTGCGAAGGGGGAGATGATAGGACTTATCAAAAGCACTAATTAAATTTAAAAATCATATCAAAACGCTATGTAAACGGAAGTTGTTGTAGGAAGGGTGATCTGGAAGGATGGGCGAAAGGGCTTTCTTGATCCGAGCTGATCTTCTGATCTGTCAGTGGGGGCTTTGAACAGCCTCAAATCATATTGCCCCGAGGTTCAGCATCCGGCCCCCACACAAACGGAAGATTCGAAACGTGTTTTTCTTTTTGCTCCGTTTCGTGTGTTGTCTTTGGACTTGCTCTCTTCCTTCACACAGTCGTCAGAGAGTGCAAGAGAGAGAAAAAGAGAGAGAGAGAGAGAGAGAGATAGAGAGGGGGTGGGGGGCATTGGCTCAAGAAGTAAATTTGAGGAAACCTCAGGGAATGATGTTTTACTGCAACCCGGGACGTTACACAGTGTGTCCCGATTTATGTCTGTTGTTGCCTCCCTAGGGCTTTGCTGTTGACCATTTACACCCATAACCTCTCGCAGATTAACCCTTTGAGGGCTGAAGGACTTGTGTGGGTGTGTGTGTGCGCGCGCGTGTGTATGTGGTTTTTTTCCCCCCACCGTGGCCAAATTTCAGAGAAGCACCAGTTTCGAAATCACGCACTTCCTCCACCACCCCCCCCACACGCGTGCCGTCTCGTCCCCCCACTTCTCCACCACTATCACCCCTCCTCCCCCTCTCCCCACCACCCCATCCCCACACGCACATGTACACTCTGTAACACGTTCAAGATCTGAATGTGCCACGGAGTTGCTTTGAGTAAGTGGAGAATTCTAATCCTGTGTCAGTTTTGGACTCGTTGAAGGAGCGAACCTGAGGGTCTCTAAGGGTTAAGAGCGTCTAAACAACGACAGCCTCCCCGAATTCCTTATTCGGGTTTGAATAAAGTATCTCTGGTTGTCACATGGTCAATGACTGTAAAGGGTTTTTAATTTGAGGCACTGATTGTATAAACCTGGGAGTTTTTAATGGTTTTCGCTCCCCAGCCAATTGAGGCTCTGCTGATCTGCTCCAATCCTAAAATCAATTAGGCTTTGGCGATGATGAATTATTTATTTCGGGCCATTTTCCCTTGTAAAAACGCACTCGAAATCATTGAACGCGTACGGCTGGGAAGCGGTCTCCGTTTAGCCATCGTGTCTCTTTCCCCTCTCCCCGCCCGTTCCCACACCATCACCATCCAATTGGAGCTGTCTACCCTAATCCCATTCCCCATTCACTCCGGAGTAAATCCCGCAAAGCGCTTTGAGATGTCCTACCAATGCGAAAGGCGATGTACCAACTGCAAGGGTTATTATATGTCAAGGTTTCTATTTGTTACAGGATTACGATATGTTAAGGCCCCCTTTTAACGAGAAGTCTGAATAAATACGAGCAGTGCAAGCTGAATTATTCATTGAGACGATTGACATTTTTCCCCTAGAAAGGGACAGATAAAAGTGGAGGGGAGCGTTCTCCGAGAGAGCCTGGCGGAGCTGAATGTAAATAAAAGATGTGTGGTAAAGCTTCAGCTCACTTTATTACAGCAAGCAAGAGCGCACGAGGTGACATCGCTTGGAGGGATAACAACGTGGTGACTATCAACGGGGTTGGCAAGATAGTGAAGAGCTTTATAAAGGCTGCTCACAGGATCTGTGCAAGAGAGGGCAGAGCCATTGTGTCGGAGCCAGAGAAAAACATCTACCTCTCTTGTCTCTTGGGTGTTTTTTTTAAATATAGGAAGATCCCAGATCCAGGGCATTGCCTGCCAGAATCATCGAGTCAGCCACTTTTTTTCTAGCCTGTCTTCGTTGATTAAATGCTGAGCCAGCGTTTCCAATGCGAGACTGGTTTCATTCTCGATCCAGCCGTGTTTTTTTTTTAGTTGCTCGACTAAAAAAACTCCACACGAGCCCTCCTCCCCTGCTAATCCCCCCCTCTCTCCCGTACCCTCCCTCTAATTACCTTTCCTCCCTCCTCAATGTTCAACATCAAATTTCCTCTTGAACGCGTTAATGCTTTCTGCTTCAACCCTGGCTGTAAGTTCCACGTTCTCGCCGCCTTCTGCATCGAGCAGTTTCTTTTAAACTCCCTCTTTTAAAAGTAATAGTGATAATCCTCGAATTTGCCATCGCACAATTCACGTCAGGAGGACATCTCAAAGTGCTTCACAGGATACACTGTAAAGTGCTCGCGTTTTATAGGCAAACGCAGCCGCCAATTTGCACAGAATACACAGTCACTCTGCTTTACAGTGTATCCTGTGAAGCGCTTTGAGACGTCTCAACGACGTGATAAGGCGCTGTATCGAATGCAAGGATTATTACTATTATTATATCAGTTGCAGGAAGGATCATGCAACACCAGAATCAGGTGCAAAACTAGTGCAAGAATTCTCCATCACTTTCAGTGTATCCTGAGGTCCATTTCACGTGTTCTATTCTCTGTAGTTTTTTTTTTCTGTGAATAATTCACCTGTCCCATTGTCAGTTTTAATTTTATTTTTCTCTCTCTATTTGCCCCCCCCCCTCCCAAAAAAAAAAAATACAAATTCTGGGATTCTTCTACTTTTTTTGGAAAAAAAACTCTATATAAATTAATATTTATATATGGTAAAAACATGTTTGTTTTTCAGAAGATAAAAAATAAAAGTCCTTCTGTACTCAAAGGGCTGAAGGTAAGAATTGGAGGACACCGACACTTCCCTGACTTTGAAATGATTTCTCTCCTCTCTCTCTCGCTCTCTCTCTGTCTCTCGCTCACTCTCTCTCGGCCAATGGTGCTGTTATTCCCGATACGGTAATATCATTGATGTTTCTTTACGGAGGGAGCAGTGCATTGTCAGAACAAGTGAGGAACAGTGTAAAATGGGTGGTCTCAAGGCAGAGATATGTTGGGTTGTGGAAAGCCCAGCCTAGTAACGTTGGCTGAGGCAGAATCCATTGTGTGGGTTTCAAGAGGGAAATAGACAGTAGATGAGAGATAATAATGGTTATAAGCCTTACTAATAATACTTATGTCTTCGAGATGTCTTGAAACACTTCGCAGCAAATGCTATAAATTAAATTGACTGTACATTTTGTGGGAGAGATAGAGACTGTGATGAGGAATTGGGAATGCGAGCTAGTGTGGACTCGATGGGCCGAATGGCCTCCCTCTGCACTGTTAATTTCTGCAGCTCTAAGGCCGGTGTTGGGTGCAGGAGCAAGACTGATGTTACTCCTATCGAGGTCAATCACAGCACTGGGTTTACGGTCTCTCTCTGCTCTGTCTTCGTTGGGTTTAAGGTGGATTCGAACCGGCGACTCTAACCGTTTTCTCTTGTTTCTTTTCGTTGGGTTCAAATTCTTAAACTCGGTCTCAAAGCCGGGTTTCCGCGCACGCTTCGAAAATTGAGACCGGGCTTAAGGATTTTCCACAATTCTGCATGGTCAGAAGTTTTAAGACAAAATGGCCTTCGGGGTGAAGACTAGGTAACATTTTTAGATCTTTGGCCTTTAGCTTTTAGTAATAGATTGAATTGTCTCTCTACGATAATGTTTAACAGGTGATAATCCGATTGACCCCATCACTCGCATCGGTCAATGGGCACCGGCCTGCTTCTTGCTCCCAACCCCTCCCACCCCCACCCCACCCTGCTCGCCCCACCACCTATCTGCCCCCACTCTTACGAACTGCATCCTAGAGTCCCTCCTAATCACTCCCTCCCTCTCTCGCTTTGTACAAGGTCTGTTCTCAAGACCTACCTCTTTGACTGTTCTTTCGGGCACATTTCCCCTCTCCCCACCACCCCCGACTCCCACCCCCAGCGCAGATGCCCAGTCAGTACTGTTAACCTTGGGACGTCCTCCCAACGTGAAAGTGGCTGCGTATATGTATCTTTGTGTTGTATTGCGATGAGGTGAATCCATTGGCTGTGGTTAACTCAATGAACACTGGGTAAGTGACAAGAACAAACCATCCTTTTGATACATAATCTATCAACTTTTCTCATCATTAATGACTGGTGGTTAAAACCGATTGAGTTGGAGAGGTCCCAGGTGCGAACATCATCACATGGCATTCAAATTTCTCACTCCGAGAGCGAGTTGGGGAGCTATGTTGAGAGTTGGGACTTTGGGAGACCGTCAAAGTAACACAGGAGCATCTGATCTTGACACCTGGATTGTTTGATAATAATAATAATCCTTGCATTTGATATAACGCCTTATACAACATTGTTGAGACGCCTCAAAGCACTTCACAGGATATACTGTAAAAAGTGAATTGGCTGTATATTTTGTGAGCGAAATGCGTCAGCCATTTCAAGCGTGAATTGAGTGACCTAATTTGTTTTAAAAGGGATTATTATCCCCAGGAAAGTGATTCGACAATCAACTAACAACTGGGGTTCCTATTTACTGCTAGGTAAACAGAGGCATGTGGAGTAAGGAAACTTGCCCAAGGTTTTGCCCCGCCCGGGGATCAAATCCAGGTCCTCTCACTTGCGAGGCGAGTGCTCTAACCGCTGAGCTACAGGATTTCTTGATCCGGTCAATGGGAGTCAAACTGGGAAAATATTCCACATTTCCGTACCGTCTATTCCCAAAACACAGACCTCGTCTCTTCCAGTAATTCCATTGCGTTGGACTTATTATTGTGGACATAGTTATATCATGAAAAGGGCATTTCCTGTGTTACTGTCAGGCTGTTTCCTCCCACATGAAAGAGTTGGGGACTGAAAGAAAAGTTACCGAGCCGACAGCTGATGCTTTCACTCAGCCGAGGAAATATCGTTGATCTCTGACGCTTGTAAAAAACATTTCTCTTAATTTTTTTGCACTTGTCACTGCCGTGTCAGAGTATTATGTTTCGAAGGAGGTGCTTCCAAACGAGGACAAGACCAACTTATTTTTATTATTATAGCAAGTTATTCCTATTTTCAGAGAACCAGCAGAACTGTAATAATAATAATAATAATAATCCTTGTGTTTGATATAGCGCATTTTCACATCGTTGAGATGTCTCAAAGCGCTTCACAGAATACAGTGGAAGGTGAATTGACTGTATTTGTGGGGACGGGATTATTATTATTATTATTATTATTAAGCACTGGCACCGTCAGCTCGTTGTGGCATTGGCTCTAACAATGTCCATTGGCTCTTTCAGGACCCCAAAGCACAACATCCTGAGCCGGCCCAGCCCCCGGCACATTCCCAACAGGCAGCTATACTCCAGCTATGACGAGCAGCTGAGACTGGCCATGGAGCTCTCTGCCAAGGAGCAGACGGAGATGGAGAAGCGGAAAAGACAAGAGGAGGAAGAACTGGAACGCATTATTCAACTTTCACTCACTGAGAAATAAGGTCACCCACCTGCTGCTTGACTGCTCTTTCTATCTTGCCCCCTCGCCCTTCATCATGTCTCTTCCCCCGCACCCCACCTCCCCACCTCAAACCCCTCCACGCCACCTCCCACCTCTCACCTCTCTCTTTCTCTCTCTCGCTCTCACATGCACACTCGAGCGTGTTTCTTTTTAAAAAAATAACGGGGAATCAAAAGGCAATATTGCAATGTTATCGGCTCGTGCATTAACCACAGTATGGTTAACAGCAGATTGACTGACTGTCTGACTGATAGCTGAGCATCAAAGATGTACGCAGGAAATTGGCTGTGAAAAGACCTCACACTTTATCCTACTGTCTTGGGCCTGGTTATTGAGAAAGCCAGTGCCAACTAAGAGATTGTATTGGTCCCAGTGCTGGATTGGCAGAGGCTGAACAGACTGCATTTAGTCTGATATCCAAATTCAACCTGCATTGGGTAACTAGACATTGGCATTGTTGGTTAGAAATCCCGCCTGGCGATTAGATTCACAACAACTTGCATTTATGTAGAGCCCTCCCTTCACTCGGAGTAACGTGAAAGAGATTTACTGATGTCTCAGAGCATTTCGGAACGAGCCTCCGGAAATTGGCCAAGTTCTTAACTTAAATGCAACTTTCATTTTGAATCCCTTTTTACGTCAGTTCCTTACAGATTCAAGATAATCGGCAAGAGAACGAGAGAGGATATGAGTAGAATTTTTTTTTTACACGGAGAGTTGTAACGGGCTGGAATGCACTGCTTGAAAGGGTGGTGGAAAGAGATTGGATAACAACTTTCAAAAGGGAATTAAACAGGTACTTGAAGGGGAAAATTTTGCAAGGATATGGGGAAAGAGCGGGAGAGTGGGGCTGATTTTCCAAACAGCCGGCACAGGCACAATGGGCCGAATGGCCTCCTTCTGTGCTGTAATATTCTATGATTCTATAAGTTTGTGCACAGAAAAACAGTTTCCAAGTTAAGACTGGCCAAACTATTGGTCAATTTCTGGATGTTCTCTGAGATGTTCCGAGTTTGATCTGAGTGGAATTTCTCCCCATGTTATATGAAGGCCTTAAATTGTCCTTTCATTTGCAAGACTCGGGCTCAAATCCAGTCGATTTAGAGAGCATTGAAAGTTACCAATTCCTTCGGAGAACTGGATAAATTCCACCCGGTCCTGGCTTTGAGACCTTTTGTCTTTAAAATTTACGATTGTGCCAAATTTTGGAAAAGTCTTGAATTTGAATCGCATCGTTTTTCAGAGAAGGATTTCGCGGTTCTCGAAAAAGAAAGGGGCAGCGAAAAGCTGATTTCCAAATTGAGCTTAAATTTAAGACACTGTCCACAATTCAGCACGACAGCCATCATAATCCCAAACATTCGACCCAGCGCCTTTCACGTCAGGGTAACGGAGGAGGACATCTCGAAGCACTTCACGTGATTTAACTGTGAACTGGGTGTTTTGTGAGCAAAAGGCAGGACTGCACAAGCCTTTGTTTCAACACCACCCCCACCCCCAATACGACAGTAGAATATTGTTAAATCCTTTTGTACATTGCCTCGTAAGCGTCTTGTTTGTTTTGAGCTGTGCCGGTTAGGCATTCTGTGTCATTTTAACAAAGTTCCTTTTATATCCTCAGCGATGTCCTTTCTGGCAGCTTTCTGCTCACTGCAGTAGCTCTATTGCACTGTTGAGGCATCCCATTCTCATTTAAGTCAGAGTCAGTCGCAGAAAGTGAGCGACTCAACGATAACAATGATACAAAACTCCCAAATTCCCCATTTCACGCTGATCGGGGATAGAAAAACTCAGATATTCCCCCCGTTGCTGGGAAATCTGAGATAGAGGATGGATTCGAAAGCTGCAACGGACAATCAGTCATCAAAGGGTTGTTTGTTTTCCTTGCACCGATTTTTTTTTCAACTGCGTTCAAATCTATCTCGCGTGTGGGGGAAGAGGGGTAGAGCGGGGTGGGGGTGGGGGAGGGGGCGAGGGTGAGGGTGAGTGGGGGGGAGAATGTCCCATTGGCTGATAGTAAATGTGAACAGCTGTGCGGGCAGAAAGTTTCTCCCGTTTTTTTAAAAAAAAATGTTTTTGGGCGCGAAAGCTAATTTCGCAACGGATCTTAAAGCACAGTGACTCCTCAAAGGCTCCTCCACTCCCCCCGGCCCCCCCACCTCCGGTGGAAAGGAAGGGGAGGGTTGGGGGTGGATGGAGGGTGGTCAAACAACCCCTCGACGATTTATACCTTACCTATCCTCCTGAAGGGTTTCTCTAAACACGCAACCCTTCTGCCCAGCTGCTATGTCCCATTCACGCCCACTCCCCTTCGCTGTGGTCAATAGTCGCAGAAGGGCGCGTAGCTCGGTTCAAAGACTCACCGCAATAGCGTAAGATTGCTACTTTGCCCTATTTAGCGCTGGAATGTGATGATGTTGGGTGTAGACAAGAGAGAAGTTGGCCCAGAGACAGGGTACAGTCTCACTGTAATCTGGCGTCGGAAGTGTTATATATGTGTATATATATATATATATAGTTTGTAGCACTCACAGATCTGCACCGCTGTTGAGCCGACTAAGGCAGCTGGTAAACCCATCAACCAGTGGCTCAGACACAAGCAAAGGCAACGTAGGCATTTGCTCCATGTTTAAAAGAACCTCCTGCTCGCAAGTGGCAATCGAGAAAGAAAGGGGCACGTGGCAGGACTGGATTAATGTGGCATTTATTTAGAGAGAGAGAGAGAGAAAGAGAGAGAGAGTCACACACACACACACATACACACACTCTCTGAAGACCAATGGAAGCGAATAGATGCCACAGAGAGGTTCCCTTTGATACAACGCACACAAGATCACTGGAAAGCACACTAGATACATGGATAGATGTAACAGTACAATACAAATTTGCATTTATATAGCGCCTTTCACGTCGGGAGGACTCGCAAGGCTTGTTCCCACTGAGCTCAGTTGATGCAGAACACGCATTCAACAACTGAGACCTTGTTTCCTCCTCCCTCCCTCCCTCCCTCCCTCCTGTGCTTTCTTTCCATCTTAGTCAGGCAAACACTGTAGTAAAGAAGGTGCTATTTATCTCAGTGAATAATCGGATTAATGTAAATGCATGGAGATCGGTGTGATTTTTGCTTAAATAAATAACTGCTACTTTTTTATTATTATTCATCAATTTCTCCCGCTCTCCCCCCCCCCCCGACTGGCCCGTCCCTCTCCTCCCCAGGCACGTCACCTCTGCCTCTACCTTCCTCTCCCATCGCCGCGCAACTCTTCCCACATCATGGAACTGTGCGCAATGGCCTGTTCCACGTCCAAATCAATTGCACTTGTAGCTCAGAGCTACCTGGAGTGACCACATCTACAGGATGTGCGAGGCTTCGCTTTCGCTGCCAAACCACCGCATATCCAGTCTTCCCAATAGCAGTTTTCACTTGAATCAGTTCGAGGAATTGTACGTCAGAGCTGAAGTCACCAAAATGCCAGTGATTTCATGTTTGGTAAGAGCTGTGTTTGAGTGTGTGTGGAGTGTTTGTGTGCGTGTAGGGAGTGTTTGTGTGTGTGTGTGGCATGTTTGTGTGTGTTTGTGTGTATGTGTGTGGCGTGTTTGTGTGTGTATGTGTGTGGCGTGTTTGTGTGTGTGTATGGCGTGTTTGTATGTGTGTGGCGTGTTTGTGTGTGGCATGTTTGTATGTGTGTGGAGTGTTTGTGTGTGTGTGTGTGTATGTGTGTGGCGTGTTTGTGTGTGTATGTGTGTGGAGTGTTTGTGTGTGTGTGTGTGGAGTGTTTGTGCGTGTGCATGGAGTGTTTGTGTGGCGTGTTTGTATGTGTGTGTGGAGTGTTTGTGTGTGTGTGTGGAGTGTTTGTGTGTGTGTGGCATGTTTGTGTGTGTGTGGCATGTTTGCGTGTGTGTGTGTGTGTGTAGAGTGTTTGTGTGTGTGTTTGTATTTTCTATTAAATAATTTATTCTTAAATTGAGTTTTTTTTGCAATTGACCTGACCTCCCCCCCACCCCTCCCCCCATCCAGTGATATTGCTACCTGATAACCTTTTGGGACCCTAAATTCTGCCTAGTCGTACCCAATAAAACCATTTGCCTTAAAAGGTTAAGATGGCAACAGAACTCAGAGACCAGTTCTTTTGAAGAACAGTTTTCAAACCACGGTCGAATTCAAGAATTTTCCGCAATTCTGCACGGTCTTAAATTTTTACAACAACATTTTAGGCATTACAAGCTAAGACTAGATGGAATTCCACAGCTCCGGGCAGTTAGCTATTCCATCACATCTGTGCGGAGGACCAGAGTAAGCCAGATTCATTTTATTTTTATTTATTATGTTGCTCTAGAGAAATGGATTGCATCGCTTCATTCGGTTGTGAAGTACTTTGGGCCCATTTATTGGCTACAGCTCCTTTCAGCCACGACGTCCCGAAACTGTGGAACACTCTTCCCTCTATCCCTCCGCCTTGCCCCTTCCTTCCCTATCTTCAGCTCTTGCCCGAAGACCTTCCTTGAAACATCTCCACCACCAACCTTCCGTCCGCATCTCCACCATCCTTTGTTTTACGTCGAAATCCATCAAAGTAGCCCTTCTCTGGGATTTCACACTAAAAGCAAGGAAGGCAGTAGGGAGAGGTTTAGCAAGGGGGGACGAGACGGAGCGGACGAGTTTGGGAGTGCTAGAGGTTAGGGGCTCGATGGCGGAGCAGGTTTAGGGTGGCGAAAGCCAACGGTAACTGCTCCCCAATAAAACAGAAATCTCAATCTTGCTAAAGCGATGTGTGTGCGATTAGAATCGGTTCCACAATGTGAGTGTATGTGCGTGTGTTTTTTTTGCTAAAGGCTGCAGGTACAGTGTTGATTTTGTTTTATTTTCTTTTTTGTTTAAAAAGAAAAGGGGTTCGTAATTCTGCATGAGAACGTCACTTAAATAGAACAATTACAGCTCTCAAACCGTGCGTGAAATGTCTCGTGGTTGGCACAGAATGATGTTTTTTTTTTAAAAACTATCGTAAGATTTTATACAACTGGAAAAGATTGCAAAGTCTGGTTGCTTCACATTAATATACAGCAAAACTCCTGATAACTCGACATCCTGGCTTAACTGGTCACTTGACCTCTTAAGTCATTGTGTTGTCAATACCCCGACTGTGTGTATTTATTTATGTATTTATAGATGTGTCTAACTCGCCACTCCTGATAACTCGTCACCGAGCCCTTTTCCCTCGGAGCGTCGAGTAAGCAGGAGTTTACTGTGTTGCAATACGTTGGTTGTTTTTTTGAGCGAGGGAGGGAGCGAAGGGCGGGGAGGAGATTCCTGTAAACCCTTGACTCGGTTGTGATTACAGGCCCTTGTGTCAATTTCCTCAACGGATATTAACACGTCGAAACTCAACCAGTACAAGTGGCAGCCCCTGTCCTTCCATCCCCGGGAAGGACCGACGTCAAATAAATTACAAAATAACTTTACTGTCATTGTTTTTTAACACTCCATTTTCTTTTCTCACTTACACGCATTCATACGTCCACACTCGCTCGCACCCACGCACAGAGACTCGCACACTCACTGACTCACTCACTCACTCACTCACTCACTCACTCACTCGTGCACACTCTCACTCACACACAGCAACACTTCCTCCGAGCTGTCCTCGTTTGCCATCCGATTCCCGAATGAAAGCCAGCTTTTTTTTTTAATGAGAAAACATATTATTTTAGTGCTTGTTTCAGTGCGGCGGTAAACGTACCCTT